TTATTATTATTATTATTATTATTATATTATTATTATTATTATTATTATTATTATTATTATTATTATTATTATTATTATTATTATTATTATTATTATTATTATTATTATTATTATTATTATTATTATTATTATTATTATTATTATTATTATTATTATTATTATTATTATTATTATTATTATTATTATTATTATTATTATTATTATTATTATTATTATTATTATTATTATTATTATTATTATTATTATTATTATTATTATTATTATTATTATTATTATTATTATTATTATTATTATTATTATTATTATTATTATTATTAATTTATTGTTCATTCTGAGTCTATGGCTGTGTAAGAAATGCAGGTCCTCTCTGTCTACAGGCCAAGGATACCTATACCAGTAGTATATCCCCTCCTATACCTCCCATGCTGCTTACCCCAAAGCGTACTACCTTTCACAAGTCCTCATTCAATCATATACTTAGAGGAGCCCTTAGCCCTTCATTATCTCCCCTCTCCAGCCAACAAAACGATGGCCATTTGCGGGTGTATGGCAGTCGAGAAAAATCGCAAAAACCACTGGGTGCGGTGCTCTCCTAATACCAACATTAGGACTAGCTCCGAAGACAAAGTGATCCTTCTGTAGCGCTCGAAGAGGCCGGCCAGCTGGGCGCTGCAGACTCGTGGGCATCTCGAGTAATTCACATTCTGCCTTTCTAGCCTCCTTCCCGAAGGTCGTGCTGAAATTTTATAAACGTCTTGACAGAGCGTGATTGCTGTATGGCAGCTTAGCCCAACTTCTTTTGTGCAGTCCAGGGCGCTGGGGAGTGCTGTTGACTCATCAACAAACGAACTCCAGGCTAATTAGCCGAAATCTTGATCTTGGCGTCCACAAAAAAAATCCAAAGTTGAAAACTCCCCGAAAATATCAGTCCGAGAATGCTCTTCAGAGACCTGTTCCCCCTCTCGCTCCGAATCTCAGCCGTCTGTCCTTCCTTAAGATGTGTAACCCCATTAGAGTATCATTCCCTCAACTTTGTATATAATGACTTAATTTCCTCCTTGCGGGTATACATAGCGTCGTAAATTTGTAGTGAATGATGGTCGGTAAAGAATGAGGCAAGCTCCTGTTTGCAATTGGGCTGACGCCTTTATCGGTAGTTGAGGCGTGTTGATAGATGGTTAGATCGAGGTTGAGGACTCGGAAGATAATGGTGAGTGCTGCATGATTGAGAGGTCGTCAAATGGAGATGTGGATGTGTTTGCTTTCGACTTCAATTCGGATGCAATTCTTCTTGGCTATCCTAGATATGCAGAGCATACTGAGAGATTACACCGGCACCACTGGAAGGTGAAGAATTCGTCTTTGCCGGCCTGGTTCAATAATGTCTCGCCATGATGCGCAAACTGAAACTGATAGTCAAAATGGAGCATTACTAAATGATAGCCGTAGCCCGTATCAGGGATACGTAGGCGAGCATTAGTCTCACTTCCATGCTATACGAAACCTAGGTCTCCTTGGATGTCACAACCCAAGACGACTGTGCAAGACGACTGTGCTGACATACCTATTGTTAGAGTATCGAAAGTACTTCGAAGCAAGATTGCTCGAGTACGGACAAGTTCAGTATGCTAATCTTTCTAAATAAATTACGGGTATCATGATACATACAGTAGAATTGCAAGGGTGAAAGGTTACCCGTAACCAACTCGACTGCAGAAATAATCGAGAACCTTGACCAAAAAAGGAACTATCCACCAAACCAGAGTACCGGGCCATGCAAGAGAAAATACGAACCAAATACTGTATTTTTTCGGTACGAATAGGATTCCAACAACTGAGTCTGATTGGATCAGCAGCATGGATCCCCAGCCTTAACTCCAAGATACTGATCAGGTAAGATGCACACAGCCATATTGGTCGATAGAAACATTTGTTAATAACTGTATTCCCAACACCTGTCGACCGTAATTATATCCGTGAGTTTTTCTGTACAAACTTTGTGTGTGAGCCAGCGAAGCACCTTAATGCAAAAAAAGAGAAAAATTTTGGCCAAAATCTATGGGCCTCGCACCAGATTTGATATGCATCTTTGCGACTGAGGCCTTTCTCCACGGGAATCCTATATCCCGGTAAAGATCAGAAAACTATGGACCCAAGATTAGTGAATCTATCGTGTGCCCTAATGACATTCAGCTCGAAAAGAGGAAGGGACGTCGTTACAGAATATATAACTGAGCATGCAGGATTATCTGCGAGAAATCCACTTTGCCAGGTCCATAAAGTAGAGATGCCTCCGTTATGAGATTTACACTGGAGCTGCACTTGATGGAGGTCGAAAGTATAGTGGATACTCATTGTAGAGCATGATCATGATACTCGAGTTGACATGCTGGTGAAAGCACGAAGGTAGGGTTGGAGATATGTGGTGAGATACTCCCTCAATATGTCGAGATACATGATACAAGTGCGTGTGGATATGTGAATATTTGTGTGGTAAAGTCTTGGTGATAAACGTGTCTGGACTGTATATCCTATTTACGTGCAGGACGAGAATAATGTTACGACTTATCTGAGGACGATAATGATCACTAACAAGATATTGTGTTTGGACCTTAGGCAACGATGTGTAAGTAGAACAAAGAGAAGAATGAAAGTATGTGCTTGGAGCCGCGAGCTTGGGGTAAGTGTGGATCACAAGAATCCCGGCCATCTAAGCAAGCTGTGAGGCGAGTGACTGAGCCTTCTCTTTTTTTTGCATCAGATTTTAATTGCGTATGCAGTTAACTAGCTGTGACACAATATCAAAGAAAATTATATAAAACATGGCTCAATATAAGGAAAGAGCACCCATGCCTCGGATTTCATTTTCAAGTACCACTGTCAAGTTATGGCGGCTTTTTCTTCACCCCAAGTCAACCCTCATCCGTGAATACCCACCCAGGGAAACGTCTCAAAAACCCTGAGTTATCCAGACATGCCTCCACCATCTTTCAACTTTTCTCCGCGCGAGATGTAATCTGAGATGTCTCCTTCCCAAGTGGAGTAGGTGCCCAGGCTACTCAAACTTAACTGGAGAACACCACCAGAAGGCGGACCACAGCACCTTCCATCGTTGCCCTGTTTTTACAGTGTCAGCTGCATTCTCGCGAGCGAAGTCGTGGCGCGCACAAAGCTCAATTCGTAAAACTCCTTGCCAAAATTCAGAATTTCACGCCCTTCGAAGTAATATCCTTCCTTTGTATCATCTTGTAAACTTGTCCTAATCCCTCTCACGTCCATCACAAATAACTGTCTCCCAGATTTGTGCGCTACGCTTTGCTTCCTCCGTCGGGTATAAATATCAGCATGGGCGTGCATTTGGAGGTCAACTGAGGCCAGAGAAGGTCGATGAGAGTTGTGGTCATTGGGGTGAAGATGTATTAGGTCGTACTTGTAGACTTGATAAGACTTAGGTATGAATCGAACTCGTTGGGAGCGAAAAAATGACATGGCGGAGTATTTTGAATCATTGCCTCGTGGGCCAACTTCTTTAATACAGCGAAATCTGACTGAACTTGGCTCTGGGAGAATATTTCGCTCCCAGGTTCGTAGAGGACACCGCGTACAGGTGTTCAGTCTTTGCCCTCCGAGTGAGTTTTCATTTAACGCCAAATAGGCTCACGAGCAATGCCCGTTCAAAGGCCGTCAGACTAATCATTCATCCTATCGAAAAAAATTATATCTGCACCAACATCTCAGCGGTGAGCCAAGATCTTCAGTGGCCACAATCACATTTTGAAACTATAGCCGTGAGCGAATTATTCCGACGCTAAGAAAATTAATACTGACCCACAAACTGGGGAATAGGAGCAGGTCTCAGTGCGCAGAGGTGGCAAACAGTTTTCGGGATGGTGCAAGACGCATGTTAGGTGGCAAGGAGTGTAGGGGGGTATTAGATCATTGATCGGATCCCTTTGATTGGGGCACGCATGTTAAGTCTCAACCTACGCCGCATCTCAGTTGTAGTCTGGAGCTACGAGACAACGCGCAACCATTGTACCATCATACATCTGTGATAGCCACACACCACTTTTTTGATAACCGGAAGTGCACACAAGAAACCTCAAAGCGTTCCATCTGCCCTAGCACATGCAATCGTAACGAATTATACATTGTTCGATACGGATGTCTATCTCGATTCCCAATAATTCCTTTGCTTGCATCAGAATTGTACTGCGCTTGCAGCTACCTAGCTTTAAGCAATATCAGAGATAAAATATTGGGCAAGTGACTCTATGATAAAGTAGAGCACTTAGGGCTCGGATTGGATTGATTAGTACCACTGCGAAGTTATGGCGGCTTTTTCTTCATCCCAAGTGAACCCTCATACATGAACACCTACCCAGGATATGCAGTAATTATATCTTTATAGATAGTTCTTATATGTATATTTTACCTTGATGCACTTCATCTCTCCTATTTTTGCTCACACTTACTCTCGCGTAACATCATAATATCAAAATCGCGTTAAATCCTTACAGTAGACGTCTCCGGGTAAAGTCGCTCAAATATGGTCAGGAGAGCTTGTTTAAACGACAATTGATTGTTAAAATTACTCCTACTCCCAATCAATAATAACTCGTCCCACTGAGCAGACTCTAGCTCTGAGAGTTATGGAGCCTAAGTCATCAAAGGCAACATAACACTACAAGTGGCAACTAAAATTTCCCTTGCATAATACTAATTGAACGATAAAAGTGGGATTAAATTGGGATAAAATTTGTTTATATGTATAATCTTATGGGGTTACGTTGAGCTGTTTTAAAAATTAAACTAGTTTTAATACAAGTTTGTACACGAGTTTCTACGATTGGTGCACTCTCTCACTTTCCTAAGAATAAAATAAAAAAAGTTTCGATATCCGTTTATAATACAACCCAATCAGAAAGCACCAGCCCAGTATCACGATGGGTCGTGTCTAGGATAAAAAATCCAACTCCGTTCTAGAACCTGATTTCGGTTTAATTTGCTTTTCTACCACGGGTATAACCGCCATGCGAAGCAGGGGCACTGATGTCTCGTCTTATTCCCCATATTTGTCTCTTTGGTGTTATTGTTGCGTGTACTAAGCTCCTTGCCCGTCCTCTTCGTTCTCGTATTTGCGCCAGCGCTTCTTCTCGACTCACAGTAGGACAAAATGATATCTTTTCATCATACGAAGGCGCTGACATATTGGTGATGACTCTCACTTCTGGATCTTTTATAAGAGAAATGTCGCATGGCATCGCATTGAGGGATCGACTATGATCACCTGAGATTGATTTCGTCCGAGAACTCAATTTATTATCCTCTGAAATTTCGTGGTTTATAGCTAGTGTTTCACATAATTGCATTTCCTGTGAGTCGTTTGGACTAGAAAATGGATCATAGAATTCAATCATTGGATTTATAATAGATCTTCTGTTCAAGGTATTTTTTGCAACATCAGCAATTCCTTCAGGGGATATTGGAGTCGCTATTAATTGTTCTTCGGATGAAGCCTCTGCACCAAGCGTAGTTTTGGAGATATTAGAGCTTGAGTTCAGTTCGAAATATGTCTTTTTGCTTTGCGGCAAAGCTTTTCGAGATACACAACAGTGAAGACGACATTCCAATTCCAGAAATTCGATGCGTTCGTCTGCTCTTTTGGCGTGCTGTTTCTCCCATGAAAGCAACATCCGTAATTCGTCTAGCTCCTCTTTTGAATCTAAGCGAATTAGATGGGTAGGTTCCTGATGATTGTCAATTTTTTTAGGCGATGAGAATTCGTCCTCTTTACTTGACGCAGGGAGTGGTATTAGACCTTCGCTAGCGATACGAGCGACATCTTCACCTGCAGCGATTGACCGTAAAGCATCACGCTCCTGCTCGGCTTTTTTAAGGTTATCTTGTAACTGTCTTACAGCTGTTAGGGCATTAGAAAGCTGTTGCTGGACTTGCGACTCTTTCTTTTGCGTGGCTATTACTTGAGATTTCTCCTTCTCGAGATCGGCTTGAGCCACGCTGATAGCTGAACGAGCAGATTTCAATTCAGCTTGAATTTTAACCAAAACTGACTGCGACTTAAAATTTTCCTTTTTCATACGCCGCTTCTCTTTTTCCCAAGTAAGCTTTGTGCGTCCGTAGTTTTCTTCAGAATGCATGAATTTTTCCTTTTTTGGTGGTCAGCCATAAATAATAGGCCTTTCACTTCACTGGTTAAGACTTACCATAACAGATTCTAATCTCTCAGCAACTTTTCTTTCTCTCTGTTTACCTTCTTCAACGACGTTCTTCAATAGCCTGGCTTCTTCCCGATATCTCTGCATTTCGCTCTCTGCCTCCTCTCTTCCCAACATAGCTCTCTTGAGAGCTGCATCGTGATGCCTTTTATCTGATGTCTTCGATAGAGAAGATAATGAATTGAAACTGGCTACTTTTTCGTGGACGCTGTTTTCTCTGGTATGCACCCGAGTCGTGGAGGTGATGACTTCGTAATTTTTAGATGTTCGTTGGGAGTTAACCCGTTCTGGAGACGCCGCATAGAGCGGTCCCCCTATCACTTTAGATGATGGGGAAGGCGTATCCATCGTAATTTATATGCTTGAGTATGTAATTGAAGAGTTGACGCAAGTGTTTTTGGTAACTCAACGGTGCGATTCGTGTCTAGTGTGTACGCAGTGTTTACTTTTGTGGGGGGCAGGGGTGGCTTTCTGGCTGGGCATGCGCGTGGTCGGTTGCTCAGGGGAAAATTAATAGCAGAATGACCCTAGATGACGTGAAGGCTCTATTCCACACAGAGCAACAATCGTTTAGGACTGATACTACTCAAATCCTTGAGTTATAAAGTAGAATCTTAAAAATATTAGGACAGGAACGAAGCATAGTGTGCTGTAGGGAGCTTACGGCTGGAAGCAATGTAGCCTAATGACCTGCAGCAAATTACATAGTTGTCTGCTATATACGGTTAAAATCTACGTTTATGGAGATTACACATTCGAGTTATTCAATAAATGGAAGACACCACTAACAAGAAATGGTAGTTATTAACAGCTTATCTTCGCAATGGTAGGACAATGATTTTGTTCATTTCCAGTATAAATTGCGCCTGAGAGATTTAAGGCCACATCAGCTCCATAGTTTTAGTTAAGCACTAGTCAACCAACTAATTTGAGCTAGCTCGTTCGCCTAGTCAAAATTTAAGTTACATGCTTGTCCTTTTACCTCTAATTCCACCTACAAATTTGTCTCTGCGTCTCTTCCATTACAATCAACCATCAACTTTTTCTTCACCAAAACCATCTCCACTCCCCATATACTTCTATCGTTCTTATAATTGAATATACTATCACGTCAGCATGAGTAATGATTCAGCTCCGGTCAAACAGGCCGTTATGGGAGTGTGAGTTATTTTTTATGAACCAGTCCATGGCAATTTTCTCCAGCACAGACATTCATGACAACTTGTCAATGATGAGAAAGAAGTGCAAGATTGCCTTCTGTATCAAACTGATCTATGAATTCAAAGCTTTAACCCCCCCCCCCAAATTTTTCATATGTCTAAAAGAATATATGCTAACAAGAGATTATGAAGGCCACCATTCGTCGTCGATTTCATGAGTATGGGCCCTAACCATAACAATAAATTTATCCTACTCAATAGGCAGATATATGATATTAGAGAGAAACAACTCGCAGAACGTGAAGACTAACTTCTATCCGTAGTGGGTGGTGTGTCTGCAGCGGTATCAAAGACTGCCGCAGCTCCTATCGAGCGAGTAAAGCTATTGATCCAGAACCAGGCACGTACTTTCATAATCAAAGCGGCCCACAATATTTAAGCGCGAAAATCCAAATCTAACAACTTCCAGGAAGAGATGTTGAAATCTGGTCGCCTAGACAGGAAATATGACGGCATCTTAGACTGCTTCAAGCGGGTGACCGCAAATGAGGGAGTAGCATCTTTATGGCGAGGTAACACTGCCAATGTCATTCGGTACTTCCCTACACAGGCTCTCAACTTCGCTTTCCGTGATACCTACAAGGCTATGTTCAACTTTAAGAAGGATCGAGATGGATACGCCAAGTGGATGGCTGGTAACTTGGCCTCAGGGGGTGTAAGTTTAGGCTGTAAGACGCTTCAATTATTTCGCTAACACCTTAAGGCTGCCGGAGCCACTTCTCTCCTTTTCGTCTACTCCCTAGACTATGCCCGTACACGTCTAGCCAATGACAACAAAAGCGCCAAGTCTGGTGGCGAGCGTCAATTCAATGGATTGGTGGACGTGTATAAGAAGACCATGATGACCGACGGTATTGCTGGATTGTACCGTGGCTTCATGCCCTCTGTTCTGGGTATAGTGGTTTACCGTGGTCTCTACTTCGGCATGTACGATTCTATCAAACCAGTTGTACTTGTTGGGCCTCTCGAAGGTAACTTCCTTGCTTCATTCGCACTCGGATGGACTGTCACAACTGGAGCTGGTATCGCATCTTACCCATTAGACACTATTCGTCGTCGGATGATGATGACATCTGGTGAAGCTGTCAAGTATAAATCCTCCCTTGACGCCGGACGCCAAATTATTGCCAAAGAGGGCGTCAAGTCGTTATTCAAAGGTGCTGGAGCCAATATCCTCCGTGGTGTCGCTGGTGCGGGTGTTCTATCAATCTACGATCAATTACAGGTTTTACTGTTCGGTAAAGCTTTCAAGTAGACTCATGTACATGTTAAATTGGCCCAGATTTTGTCTTCATAGTAATATAGTATGTCCTTTGATAAAGGCAAGTGTCACGGGCCAAAGACAATTATTAGTCGAGGCTTGTAACATTAGGTTCTGTAATGGTTAGAGGGTTGGAAAAATGGGATTTGTGTATAACAAACAGTTTATATTTCACTATCCTTGCGAACAAAATGTAGGCACTTACTCTAGGCACAAAACAAGGTTTCTCTAGACTATTGGCATTTATGCACAGCTTTGATTTCGGGCTTCGTATACTCTTCATACAACTTCATTTCTCACATACGATAACTATCGAACCAAGTGTTGCTATTCCTCAGAACGAGTGGTAGGAGTGTATTGCTAAACTTGCTTGTCGCTCGATCGCCAAGCAGCCCACATGTCCGTATTTTGAGATCAACACTGCCTAAAATTCCCACTAGAGGCTTACTTTGTCTACTTACAGCTCCCACGTCGCTCACGGCACACATATGGTTCGCAGATACCTTCTTTCGGCTTGCGTTCGTTGGAAATTTTTCGATGGTATCACATTATTTCCAGCAATTAGCGAAGACTTGCGGTATTCTGCGCACGAAATAGAAGGAGCAATCGGACCGTGCACTCGTTGAATCAGGGGTGGACGAGCGGGATTTGCGCGCATACATGCATGCACTGTGTTTTCAGTGGATCTACCCATGATTAACGACGCAGCCATAAGGCTGGGCGAATGGTTTGATCCGGAGGATGAGTCTGAACACCTGTACGTGGTGTCCTCTACGAACCTGGGAGCGAAATATTCTCCCAGAGCCAAGTTCTGTCAAATTTCGTATTATCGAAAAAGTTGGCCCACGAGGCAATGATTCAAATTGCTCCACCACGTCGTTTTTTCGCTCCTAACGAGTTTGACATCTACCAAAGTAACATCAAGTCTACAAGTACGACCTAATACATCCTCATCCCAATGAACTCAATTCTCTTCGATATTCTCTTGCCTCAGTTGACCACCAAATACACGCCCATGCTGATATTTATACCCGACGGAGGAAGCAAAGCGTGGCGCACAAATCTGGGAGACAGTTATTTGTGATGGATGTGAGAGGGATTAGGACAAGTTTACAAGATGATACAAAGGAAGGATATTACTTCGAAGGGCGTGAAATTCTGAATTTTGGCAAGGAGTTTTACGAATTGAGCTTTGTGCGCGCCACGACTTCGCTCGCGAGAATGCAGCTGACACTGTAAAAACAGGGCAACGATGGAAGGTGCTGTGGTCCGCCTTCTGGTGGTGTTCTCCAGTTAAGTTTGAGTAGCCTGGGCACCTACTCCACTTGGGAAGGAGACATCTCAGATTACATCTCGCGCGGAGAAAAGTAAATGGATAATGGAGGCTTGCCTGGATAACCCAGGGGTTTTGAGATGTTCCCCTGGGTGGGTATTCACGGATGAGGGTTGACTTGGGGTGAAGAAAAAGCCACCATAACTTCGCAGTGGTACTTGCAAATGAAATCCGAGGCATGAGTGCTGCTCTTGTAAATTGAGCCATGTTTTATATAATTTTCTTTGATATTTTTTCACAGCTAGATAACTGCATACGCAATAAAAGTCTGATGCAAAAAAAAGCTTCCTCCCGTCTAGCTCTTTTCTATGGTTCAAGAGGGTTACGTTAGATATAATGCCTTGCATACCTTGTATCTCACTACATAACAGGTGTTTATTATTTTGTGAGCTTTCATCGAAAAAATATCGACTGTTAGACTGCTAGGGCAAAGTTTACCTGGATTCGTTTACGAAATCTACCACTGAATAATCGCACAATTTAAAAAATACATCTATCAGCATAGTGTGATTCGTGTGGCGATCAGCTTACACACTGTAACAAAGCCGTCGGCACTTCAGGGAGAAAATAAATAGTGTTCCAAAACCGGCTCGTGTAGCTGGGAATATCACTAACCTGTTGAAAATTAGTTGACTTAGTAATGTATCATATGATGACGAAGATAACAATTTTTTCTAAGTCGTGTAAAAGATATGACTTCCATATGTAAATATATCTGAGTTGCTATAAAGAATATGGTACAAATCATCTAGAAGATGATCGAGTAAAACTGGTTATGATACATTGTCCGTGTGATGCCTTCCTTCTCAGATCATCCAAATCATGTCAATATATAACCATAACCATAACCATAACCGTTCCTTGGTCATTTAACCATATTTCTACTAGCCCTAGTTTCTATATACAGGTTTAGATCAAATCACACATGATACTAGAAAGTCACATATATCTCCTTGATTACAGTGTTCGCATGATTAGACGTCCTGTACGCGTCTCTTCCATTGACAGTTATATACTCGCGAGACACGCGACTGGTCATGACCTGGCATGACATTACACTGAAGTAATTGTTGACATGGAACCTATTCGGGTGTCTCAGCGCAAGCATCACATATTCCTTAGGACCGAAACAGTAGCTTGGAATACACCTGGACTTTCTTACTCTTGACTTGTCGTAGTGTAACCGAAACAGAAATAATGAGTAACGATATAAGTCTGGTGATCTTACATGGTAGCCATCAATAAAGATTTTAGTGAGATATCTATTGTTTCTGGGTTGTAATATACCATGCTGATCCTACCCCTAGTGTTAGATTAGCTGAAAGGTTTGTGTACTTCTTAGAAATCCACAAATAATGAGCTTAAAAGTCGTCACGGGAGCATGTTAGTAGACTGGTACGATCGTACTAGAACACGAAACATCTATTCTCAGGTATAGATTTTCTTGAAGTAGCAAAGAATTTGAGACCTTGGCTGCTCAGAAGATATACCCGTCTAGAGGACAATCTAGTCCGCCTGTAGCAAAATCAAGCCGGCCAAAAAAACGATGAGAAGATATTTAAGTCTATAGTAGGGAAATAGAGTTAGGATTATTCCAGGCAAGGCTTTGGGCTGGAAATACACGAGTATTGTCGCGGGATCAATTGATGATGGTAGACACCAGAGGAAACCCGAATTGTTACTCCGCTCTACATTAATGCATTTTATTCTCCTGTCTCAGTCCACGACTATGCAGGACATGTAAGTCCTCTTTGCCTAGAGGTCAAGGATACTTGTGCCAGTAGTATATCCCCTCCTATACCTCCCATACAGCTACCCTAAAAGCGTACCATCCCTCACAAGTCCTTATTCGATCATATACTTGGAGCCCTTTGCTCTTCATTATCTCTCACTGTTATGATATGAGACATCCCCTAGTCGAGGCCACGGCATACGTCACTAGCACACTCGGATAGACACATGAACATAAAGAAGAGTTGTATATCATTCTGCTTCAAAGCGTAACTTTTTCTTGTCTGCAGTTTCAGACAACGCAGTACAGCATTGTAATATGTATCCTTAGATTAGACTTAGTTAAGTCCTAAACTCTAGAGCTCCGGCTCTAGCGTCCTTTGTCCCGAACGGGATAGATATCACTTGCTCTAGGGAATATGATTATCGACGTAGACGTTAAATAAAATTATCATCATCTATCCAGTATTATATTTTCTTTCCATCTATCCCATATACGCACATCAGTGCACTTATCCCGGTTTCTGAGAATCCGTAAAATCAAGCAGCACCATGGCTGCGTTAAGCCAGCCGTCGTCCTCGGCGTCTACCGACCCAGGCGACGAACTACACCCGAGCCTTCTTGGGATTGCTGCAGCTATGGGGCAATCAGAACGCGAACGTAAGGAGAGAATGAGCCTAGCCCAAGACTATCTCCAAAATTTCGACACTAGGGCGAAGTCCAAGGCAGGGACTGCGGGTGCGCATTTACTCGCACCATCTATTGAAAAAATATCTCCTATCGTAATAGCGTTTGCAATAGGAAACATCAACGCCATGAACCCCCCAGGCAAGAACACTTCCCCCGAAATCACCCAGTTAAAAACCTCTGTGCATAGGGCGACAAAAATAGGTGAGAAAACACTCAACGAACTTCCGAAAAAGCCACAGGAGAATACGACTCCGTAGGTGACAATATCCCGGAAAGCTGCCAAGCTCCCGGACCCTCCGGTTAACCTAGCAAAACGAAGGCCCACAGTGCAGGCAAAACCAGCCAGTCAAGAGCCCCCTAAAAGAAGATAAAAGACTCTTCCTTCGCATGGGGCGAGAACACCAGTGGCGGAGACTATCACCTGTCACAGTAAAGAAAATTATCACTGAAAAAGCAGGAGTTGCACCTTCAGCAATCATATCAATGACACAAGTCAGGTCTGGCCTAGCCATGGAATGCGCATCAGAAGCGCTCAGGGAATCAATTCTGAGTGTAGGCCCTGCACTCCAAAACGACGAAATTACAATCGAGCCCTTTTCAGACTGGACATCTATCATGGTACTTCTTGTCCCAAACTTGATCCGCACATTAGATGGAAGAATTGAAATAACCAGGGAAATGGTAAAGACAGAATGTCAGGCAGTTTGTGGGGTTACACCAATACAGGTGCGCCCAAACGACAAAAAAAAGGAAGCTATTCCAATAGCTGGATAAAACACTTCAAACAAGTGCCATTAAATCTCCGATTTAGACTTTTTGATGAGAGTGGGCCAGCTACACCGTTCTCCCGTCGGCGCCCCATCGAGCAATGTCAACGCTGCTGGGGCTATCACTCAACTAGAAACTGCATCAAAGGACAGCAATGCGAAAAGTGTTCTGGTACTCACGAAGTAGTAGAATGCACGGCAAAAGTTCCCGAATGTTCAAATTGCGCTGGACCGCACGAGTCAACCCACCTGGGCTGCATGGCCCGACCAAGGCGGGAACATGGACAAGTAACGCCCTGATCACCCGCCGAGCTGCGAGTTATCCGAGAGCGAGGACATAAAGATTTCAAGGCGGCATTGTTAAGAACAGAAGAAAAAGGTAAGGCCCGCGAGGTCATTAATATACCAGAAGAAATTATACATGATGATGAGTAATACACCCAATTCTCATCATCATAAACACAATTATAGC